CACCGCCTGACCCACATAGACACCTCCTACCAGTGTCCTGAGTGCAGGGAGATATTCGATGACTCTTCCTCGCTCCAAACTCACCGCCTGACCCATGTAGACATATCCTACCAGTGTCCTGAGTGCAGAGAGATCTTCGATGACTCATCCTCGCTCCAAACCCACCGCCTGACCCACATAGACGTCTCCTACCAATGTCCTGAGTGCAGAGAGATCTTCGATGACTCTTCCTCGCTCCAAACTCACCGCCTGACCCACGTAGACGTCTCCTACCAGTGTCCTGAGTGCAGGGAGATATTCGATGACTCCTCCTCCCTCGCAGCTCACCAGCTCGTCCATGCGGAAGCCGGTTACCAGTGCGCCAGCTGCGGCCAGAGCCTGGAGGGCCCCCTGGCCCTCTCTGCCCACCGGTGCCCTGCCGCGGGTGCCGACAAGCCCTTCCGCTGCCTCCTGTGCGGCAAGGGCTTCAGCCAGGCCGTCTCACTGAGGAAACACCGGTGTGCCGCGCCGGGTGGAGCGGGCGGCGCCGGGCACGGCTGGGCTTCCCCTGGCCCCCCTCCTGTCCCCCGGGGGGCCCGGCTCTCCGCCCGCCCGGGGGAACGATGCTTCCGCTGCGACGCGTGCCCCAAGAGCTACAACCGGCTGGACAACTTGCGGCGACACCAGAGGGTCCACCTGGGTGAGCGCCCCTTCCGCTGCACCCTGTGCGGCGAGGGCTTCCCATCGTCAGCCTCGCTGCGTGCCCACCGGGCATCCCGGCACCCGGATGCCACCCAGCGAAGGGGCTACGGCTGCGGGGCGTGTGGCGAGTCTTTTGGGGGGGCCGCACAGCTCAGCGAGCACCGGTGCAGTTGGCCGTTCCGCTGGCGCGGGGACGGAGACGGGCGGGCGGGTGCCCGACCCCCACTCCCTTCCTCCACCGCCTCCTCACCCCCCGCCTCCCCGTCCCCCGCCCCGCCCGCCACCTCCCCTCCCTGCTCCCCAGCCCGTCCTCCCTCCCCAGTCCTCGTCCTCCAGCGCCGGGACCCCGCGCCTCAGCTCCCCCTGGGGTGCGAGGCTTGCGGTGAGGACTGTGCCGATGCCCTGTCGCTGCAGACCCACCGCCTCCTGCACACCTGGGGGCGCCCTTTCACCCTTGATGAGCCCCAGCCAGGCCGCGGCGGCGAGGAGGAGGGGGTAGGAGAGGAGGAGGAGGGCGCCGGCTCCGTCCACCCGTGCCCACAGTGCCGCGCCACCTTCGGCAGCCCCTCCGCCCTGGAGGAGCACCGCCTCCTGCATGCCTGGGAGCGCCCCTTCCGCTGCGACCTGTGCGAGGAGAGCTTTGCGGATTCCTGCGCCCTGACCGACCACCAGATGGCGCACGGTGCGCGGAGCCCCGGCAGCCCCCCAGCACCCAGCTCTCCACCACCGCCTGGTCAGAGCGTCGCCCCCTCTCGTTGCCCCCCGGCGCCGCCACCACAGCCGTCACCGTCCACCGGTGCCCACCGGGAAAGGCCCTTCTCCTGCCCGGTGTGCCAGAAATCTTTCGCCGCTGGCCCGGCACTGCGGGCGCACCAGACCATCCACACCGGCAACAAACCCTACCGCTGCGAAGTCTGCTCCCGAACCTACAACCGATTGGACAATCTCCGTAGGCACCAGTACTCCCACCTCAAGGCCCCTCGCTGATGGCAGCGCCTGCCTTCACGGCGCGCGCCAAGGTGGCGGGGGAGCGGGCGAGCGAGTGGTGGTGACCTCTCCTTCCCGGGCCGCCCTCTTTTCCCCACCCACCCACCACCACTCCCTCACCCGCCAGCCACCGTTTCCTCCATGCCCCGGACAACAACAACAGGAGGGGCACCCATGGCCTTCGGGTGCAGCGGGGACGTGGCGGGAGGGTTTTCTTCTTGTCTTGGGGAAAGGAGCAACAAGTCAGGGGTGGGCGGGGAGAGCTTTACTCTGCGTCTAACTCCTGTGCTGTCCCTGTCCCTGGGAGTGTTTGATGGGTGCAGCGCTCCCTCAGTACCAACCTTTTGACAGTCTGGCACTCCTTCAGTAATGACCCTCCGACAGTGCCCCACTCCTTCAGTAATGACCCTCAGACAGTGCCCCACTCCTTCAGTAATGACCGTCTGACAGTGTAGCGCTCTCTCAGCACTGACCCTCCGACAGTGCCCCACTCCTTCAGTAATAACCATGCGACAGTGCCCCACTCCTTCAGTAATGACCCTCCGACAGTGCCCCACTCCAACAGTAATGACCCTCCGACAGTGTAGTGCTCCCTCAGCACTGACCCTTCGACAGGCCCCACTCCTTCAGTAATGGCCCTGCAACAGTGCCCCACTCCTTCAGTACTGGCCCTCCGACAGTGCGGCACTCCCTCAGCGCTGACCCTCTGACAGCGCAGCACTCCCTCAGCACTGACCCTCCGACAGTGCCCACTCCCTCAGTGCTGACCCTCTGACAGTGCGGCGCTCCCTCAGCACTGACCCTCCGACAGTGCCCACTCCCTCAGTATGGACCCTCTGACAGTGTGCACTCCCTCAGTACTGACCCTCTAATAGGGCAGCACTCCCTCAGTACTGTCCTTCTGACAGTGCGTCACTCCCTCAGTACTGTCCCTCCGACTGTGCCCACTCCCTCAGCATTGACCCTCCGACAGTGCGGCGCTCCCTCAACACTGACCCTCCAACGGTGCAGCACTCATTCAGCACTGACCCTCTGACAGTGCAGTGCAGTGCATCAGATCATGCAGTGGTGAAGGTGGGCGGGAGATGGAGAGATAGAGGGGTCCCTGTTATATGCGGCCCTAGATGTTGGATCCTAACAGTGAGAGAGCTGGTTCACTTGCAATCTCTATTTAATATAAATCAATATATCCTCACGTTGCGTTCCCTGTTAGTTAGTGATTGGAAAATGTTTGACTGTCTTTCCCACAACCTGTATGTGGCATTTTGTTTGTCTGATTCCTTCCTTGTGAAAAAATATCATTAAAAAAATCATTTTAAACAAAGGAACACGTGATAGTCATTATACCTTCTGTCATCTGTACATGCGGGCATCCATGAGGCACTGTGGGCCATCAACCGCAGTAGAATTGTACTCCAGCACAATGTGTAACCTCACGGCCCGGATTATCCCCCACTCAACCATTACCATCAAGCCAGGGGATCAACCCTGGTTCAATGGAGAGTGGCAGGAGGGTATGCCAGGAGCAGCACCAGGCATACCTGAAGATGAGGTGTCAACCTGGTGAGGCTACCAAATAGGACTACTTGCACACCGAACAGCGAAAGTGATCCCACAGCCAATGGATTCGATCTAAGCTCTGCAGTCCTGCCACACCCAGTCATGAACGGTGTTGGATGATTAACCAACTCACAAATATCCTCATCCTCAATGATGGAAGAGCTGAGCACATCAGTGCAAAAGATAAGGCTGAAGCATTCGCAGCAATCTTCAGCCAGAAGAGCTGAGTGGATGATCCATCTCAGCCTCCAGTGGTCCCCAGCAATGATAGATATCAGTCTTCAGCCAATTCGATTCACTCCACGTGATATTGAGAAACAGTTGGAGACACTGGATACTGCAAAGGCGACGGGCCCTGACAACATTCTGGCAATAGTACTGAAGACTTGTGCCCCAGAACGTCCTCCCACCTAGCCAAGCTGTCCCAGGACAGTTCCGACAATGTGGAAAATTACCCAGGTGTGTGCTATACATAAATAGGACAAATCCAACCCGGCCAATTACCGCCCCATCAGTCTACTCTTGATCATCAAGAAAATGATGGAAGGTGTCATTAACAGTGCTATCAAGCAGCACCTACTCAGCAATAACCTCGCTCACCTTTTGTCCGTGTTTGAACCAAGGCTGAGTTCCAGAAGTGAGGGGAGAGGGACAACCCTTGACATTAAGGACGCAATCGACCGAGTGTGGCATCAAGGAGCCCCAAGCCAGTCTGGAATCAATTGGTATCAGGGAGGGGAGGGGAGGGGGTGCAAACTCACTACCAGTTGGAGTCAAACCTGGCACATAGGAAGATGGTTGTGGGTGTTGGAGGTCAGTCATCTCAGCTCCAGGACATCTCTGCAGGAGTTCCTCAGGGTAGTGTTCTCGGCCCCCAAACCATCTCCAGCTGCTCCATCGATGACTTTCCCTCCATCATAAGGTCAGAAATGGAGATGTGTATAATCGTCAGTGCACAATGTTCAGCACCATTTGCAACTCCTCAGATTCTGAAGCAGTCCGTGTTCAAATGCAACAAAATCTAGACAATATCCAGGCTTGGGCTGACAAGTGGCAAGTAACATTCACGCCACACAAATGCCAGGCTATGCCCATCACCAATAAGAGACAACCTAACCACCACCCCTTGATATTCAATGGTGTTACCATCACTGAATCCCCCACTATCAACATCCTGAGGGTTACCATTAACTGGAAACTCAACTGGACCAGCCATTGTGAACAGTGGCTACAAGAGCGGGTCAGAGGCTTGGAATCCTGCAGTGAGTAGCTCACCTCCTGTCTCCCCACAAAGCCTGACCCACCATCAACGAGGCACAAGCCAGGGGTGTGAGGGAATACACCCCACTAGCCTGGATGGGAGCAGCTCCAGCAACATTTGAGAAGCTCGACACCATCCAGGGACAAAGCAGCCCCCCGCTTGATTGGCACCAAATCCACAAACATCCACTCCCTCCCCCACCGACGCTCAGTAGCAGCAGTGTGTAGCATCTCCAGAAACGCATCAAAGATCCTTAGACAGCACCTTCCAAACCCACAGCCACTTCTGTCTAGAAGGACAAGGGCAACAAAAACATGGGAATATCGCCCACCGACCCCCCCAGCCCCCGCTGCAGGTTCCCCGCTGAGCCACTCACCATCCTGAATGGGAACAGAATTGGCCTGTTACGTCAGTGTCTCTGAGGTCAAAATCCTGGAACTCCCTCCCTAAGCACACTGTGAGGGATGTCCCTATACCACACACGGGTAGTGGGGAGGGAACACTGAGGTGGTTCAAGAAGTAGGCCCACTGTTTATTCCAGGGGCAATTAGGGATAGTTGATAATTGCTGGGCGAAGCTAATGATGCCCATGTTACCACGAGTGAATTGAAAATGGGCAATGGGCCAGAGAGAGAGGGTGTTAGGTTTATCTAAGCTGTTTCTCAGTGTTCTTCCCACTGTGTTGTGGGGACTCTGGAAATGTCCCACTCCTCCAGGTTCCTTTCTTAATAATTAATCAGTTTACTGCCGTCAAACCACACTCCAGGTCCAAACTGAACATTTAGCCTCTGCAAACAGGCACAACCAACTTCCTTGGGCACGGTAATACAACCTTTCTGGAAGGGACACAAATATTGCTGGGCTAGTTATCTTAAAAATAATCCAGCCGTGTAAAAGCTACGCTCTGGAACCAAACGAAATGAAGTTTACAAATCATCAGTGTGATGTCCAGCAGTCGCTGTCACTTCCCCTGGCTCTCCCCTCTCTCTTCCCCAGTCTGTCTCCCTGGATCAGTTATGGCTGGCCGAGCATGCCTTCTCTGGGGACACCAGTGCAGATTCGGAATTCTTTGTTTTTGCGGACAACCGGTTTGAGATCTTCGGTGTGTTTTCCACTCTTGCGTCTTGCCGAGAGGGATATCAAGGCCAAAGTAAGAACAAGGCTCGGGGTAAGTTACCTCGCCGAATGACTGTGTTCCAAACCTGTTGGTCGGATAAACCGGCAAACAGCATAGTGCGACCTCTCTGAAAATGTGCTCACAACTGGCTCCACTTGAGCAGCTTGTGTTCATTGTAAAAGCAGTCTTATAGCCGCACAAGTCTGTGATAGAGATTCAGTGCTTTATTCTATCATAATATTTGTTGCCCATCTCTGATTGCCCTTGAAGTGAGCATCTTGCTAAGTCATTGCAAATGCCAGCAAAGAGTCACCTACATTGCTGAGTTATAAGGCCAGACAGAGTAACGTACAGTGTTCCAAAATCCTCCAACAGTGCGACACTCTCTCAACACTGACCCTCCGACAGTGTGGCGCTCCCTCAGCACTGACCCTCCGACAGTGCGGCACTCCCTCATCACTGACCCTCCGACAGTGCGGCACTCCCTCAGCACTGACCCTCCAACAGTGCGACACTCCCTCAGCTC